AATTCATTCTACAGATACTGAGTACTATATATACCACTTGGTTCCCAATAACATACCAGTATAAGAAAAATCTTTGCCCATTACCTATATTCACTGTTTATATGCATACTCTAGCATCATGAATTTCCTGTTTCAAAGCATGTATCATACTGTAACAGTTTATGCATGTCCCTTTTGCTATACGCTCAGTAATGGTAAACAGGGACTATTCCTCAGCAGAGATAAGCCTAGATCTGACAAAAGGCAAGAAAAAGTTGTGGCAGAGATAGCAATATTCAAAAAGAGCCAGAGTAGATAGTGGCTTCAGTATCTTAAAGCAATTCAGAGCCATTGTTGTGGTGTACTGGGTAACACTGCAGCCTGTGACACTAGCATCCCATATGGGTGCTGGTTTGTGTCCTGGCTGCTTCACTTTGGATTGAGCTTCCCGCTAATGGCCAAGGAAAAGCAGCAGAGGACGGCTCAAGTACTTGGGCCAGTGTTACTCACGTGGGAGACCAGGATGAAGCTCCTGGCTTTGGCCTAGCCCAGTACCGGCTGTTGTGGCCAGCTGGGTAGTGAACCAGCAGATGGAAGATCTCCCTCTCTGTCTCTCCCTTTCTCTCTGTAACTCTTTCAAAATCAATCAATGTTTAAAACAAAAAACAAGGTAATGGGGCTGGTGGTGCTGTGGCTGCCACAGCAGGTTAACATCCTGGCCTGAACCACCAGCATCCCATATGGGCACCAGTTCTAGTCCTGGCTGCTCCACTTCCGATCCAGCCCTCTGCTATGGCCTGGAAAAGCAGTAGAAGATGGCCCAAGTCCTTGGGCCGCTGTGCCCATGTGGGAGCCTGGAAGAGGCTCCTGTCTTCGGATCAGCTTAACTCTGGCCCTGTGGCCATTTGGGGAGTGAACCAGTGGATGGTAGACCTCTCTGTCTCTACCTCTCTCTGTAACTCTGTCTTTCAAATAAATAAAATAAATCTTTAAAAAAAAGGATCTTGAATTTATAATGAGGACAAAGTAGGTCATCATAGCTTTGACAAAGGAAGTAGTACTATTAAATTTGCATGTGAATTCTCCACTCAATAAAAACATTCAATTCCTTTAGCTTCCCATTCAGTGCCTATCTCTCACCTGCATTTTTCAGTCTTATAGATTGTTTACTGGTCCTTTCAGACACAAAACACCTCAAACAAATCTAAATTATTTGTTATTCCTGGAATAAACTAAATGCTCTTCTTGTCATTCCCTCTGCCAAGAACATAATTATTCTATCACATCTTCAAATTCCTTGAATCTGAACTATCCTTCAAGGTTCAGTTTCAATGACTAACAGCCTAACTTCCCTAAATACTATGTCATTGTACTTTTTTTTTTTTTTTTTGGCAAATACTACATTCATCCTTATACTACACTTGATATGTATACCGTTTATTCCCCTTATTAGAGAGTAATACTTACAAGTGGGTAGTAAACTTTTAAAAAAGTGAATATATAATTTTACTAAACAATTACTTGGAAACATGTGACACATACAACACAGAAACTGCTACCAGATCAAAAGATATTCATAGCAAATTGATAATAATAATCTCTGTTCTTTTGATAGCTGAACAGAAACAGAAACAGTTCAGTTTAATTAAAATAAAAACAAATCCCATTTTTTATAAAAAACATAATTTAGCAAATCTCAGTTAGCAGGATATATTAATCAAACGGTGGAAGAAAATAAACACTTATTAAGTACCTACACTGTTTCATTTAATCTAAATCTATCAGGCATTATTTTCAGCATCTCCATTATTCAAGTGAGGAAAGCAAGGCCAGAGAAATTAATTCGCTCAATACAACACAATTAATGACACAGCTGAGATTTTTAACACGGTTTGCCTAAATTCCTCATTCATATTTCTCCCTCCATCCCCATCTCCCACAACACATTACTTACCTGAATCTGATCTGTATTTATCTAATTCTTTTAAAGGAGATTGGTATAACTGCAGAGATGGACCTTGATCTTTGAAAATGATTGGAGTTGATGCCAACTGATGATAAGAGAGTTTCCTTTGTGGTGTTTTAAACAAATTTGGTTCACAATTGTTGATCTTACATTCAGATTCTTCTGCAGGTTCAGAATTATAGAGTGGAGCTTCTGAAGATAGTTCTTCAAACCAGTTAAGGCTTATTGGTCCTAAATCTACTTAAAAAAAAAAAAAACTCCATCCAAATTCTATTCATTAACAAAAGTTCACGAGCTAGCAATGCAGTTAAAGATCATGATATAATGAAAAGAATGCTTGAGATTCTGTCTGTGGATTACTTTGGTTAAGGCACAGTAGGTCAGCAAGATCATGAATACATTCTCTCATGAATCTGCAGTTATGTATAGAAAGAGTTCACTGAAGTTGTGATATAGCACTTTGGTATGTTACCTTTTTATTTAATTAACTTCTGTTTATTTCCTCTCTCAATATTCAAGATTCTGAATTAAAAACTTCCAATAAAATACATCTTACAAATACAATTCATGTCATATGACTATTCCTTAAGTGTATAAATCACGGGATACAAGGTATACAGATTCTAAACTAAAAGAGAAGATTTCTCATAAAGGGAAATGACAAAATTTCTATTATCTATCCACCCTAAACAGCTGTTTTTATGTCAGGAGGTTCAAAAGTTAAAAAGATCTTCATCACACTACTGACATTATGTTCCTCATGTTGCTATTTATATCGATGGTACCAAGATAATGGGGGCTAAAACTGCTGGTGAATTTTCATGAGGTAAGCCAGTGACATCAAACTATAGTTATTATATTTCTAACCACTGCATCTTTGTTAAAATAACAGTATCACTTTATCTAAAGACTGTCCTAATTGAAGCAACATTCATTTTATTAATGCTTGACCTTTGAGCACATCTTTTTCATAATTCTCTGACAAAATGGAAATTATGTAAAAAATCACCTCTGTATAGCTGAAGTACAAGAGTTGCATAGAAAAGCATTCAAGTGATGAGTTACGAGCTGAGTTGGAGCTTTCATGAAGTCCTTTTTACATGAAATAATGACAAACTAAGTTATTCCGACTTAGCGGATTTACAACGAAGTTATTACAACTTGGATGATTTAGCAGACATTTGTTCAACTGAATGAACTGAGCTTGTTAGAAAAGCAACAGAGTTTGCTGCCAATGATAAAATGTGGCTTTCTAAAAATACGTTTAATAGGGCAACATGTTAAATATCTGTAATTTGGAACACCAATATTTTCCAAATAATTGCTACATGGTGTTACAACCTGGAAAGCTCTATTGGAACATCTATTAGATCTTTGAAAGATCTAATTAAAGTTCAAGAAAGCCAAATTAAAAAAGAAAATCCACTAGTAATTGAAGACTTAAAATACTCCTTGTTCCACTAACTATGTGAAGTGAATTTTCTTCATATATTTCTACCAGAAGGACATACCACAACAGATTAACTGTGCACCCAGGTATGAGAATACAGCTATTTTCTATTAGGGCAGATGTTAAGGAGAACTGCAAAACAATTCCACTTTTTCTTCTGAAAAAATATGCAATAGATTTATTTTCAAGTGAATTAATTTTTTTTCAGTTCTTAGTTTTAATTTCTAACACGGCAGCCTACATAAACAAATTCTCTTTGCAGGGGTCTTAGTCATGAATACTGTAACGAAAAAGTTTGACAGTCTCTGTCAAAGTAACATCACCAATGCTTCTAATCTACTAGTCCTGCTTTCTAAACAGTTCTTCCAGTTATTGCTCATCAAGAGGCCAGTCTCTTTATACAACTATGGGTTCTGTGTCTGTCGGGTTAACTGGTAAACTATTACTTTCTAAAGTGGACTTATGACTCCATATAGAGTAGCTTGCAGTGTAAAGAAAACCGAGAAGTACTGAATTTTTTTTTCAGCAAGCACGTATGTTACTTTTCTGAAAACAGTTTCTGGTTGAAATGTATCAAGTTTCACAAAACCAGCCAATACCTGTTGTGTTGCACCGCATCTTAAAAATGTCAAATAAAGTTGGCCTCTCTTTGGATCCAATAGGCATTTTTATGTACAATATTACTCCAAAGCTCGATAAGTCAGTCTGCAAGAGAAGACCAAAAGGTCCGTCACAGGGATGCATGTCGGGGTTGTGCTTGTGTCTAAAGCTACATCCTCTACCCGTTCTTCGGGACGCCGAACTCCCTGTGAGGATGGAAACATTCCACAGTTCTGTGCACTCACAGCAGCCACGGAAAACCCCTGGCGTGTGTGTCTACTGCGACTCAAGAACAGAATTGTCAATCTTTTCTTTTTAATTACGTTAACTAGTGGCTCCTGGTACAAACACTGTCCGATAACTCCCAGTCAATGATCCGAGACTAACAATTATCTGGGACTTAAGTAAGGCAGATACAGGGTGCCCAGAAACTGTAAAGCACTTTCCAGGGTGGCAATATTCCGTTAAAGTAACGTTACCGTGTTTTCAATTAAGAACATTTCGCATCCGGACACCCGGAACAGCCAGGAGGCAGACCCAGCCAAGGCGTTGTGCAGCCCGGAGCCGGGAAGCCAGAGTCCCGAGGGAGGGGGCGGGGCTCGCCTTTGCTTTGGAACAAGGTTGTTTCTCTCAGGCAAGAGGCGGAAGTCGATACAGGCCGCGATTCCCACCCGGGAACCTGAGAGACCCTAGCCCGCCACCCCGGACCGCTGGGGCCGCGGAAGACATGCCCGTCTCCATCCCAGCCACACTAACCCGCTCCACAGGTACAGCTGGTATTTGGGCTCAGCAGTCTAAGAGAAAGCGCGCCAGCATTTAGATCACAGATCTGACCCCATCGGCTTTTCCGGCGGCGATCCGCTGCCCTAGGCAAGACCCCAGACGCGGAGCTGAAGGAGCTCCGCCTCCATAGCCTTTTTTCAGACGCTCGCGCCAAAAGCCCGCTCTGGGCACGTGACGTGAGGACGCTGTGACGAGGCACGCAGCGTACGCACTACCCGGAAGTGAGGCCGCCGTCGGCCGCTGTTGTTTCTCAGTGAGACGAGAGGGGCTTGCCTGTTAGGCTCAGGAACCGGAAGACGAGGGCGCTGGCGTGTATGTTCGCTTCCTGACTTTTTTAGACCCGCCCGCCTTGTTCTGAAGGGGCGGCCGTTCGGTCTCTGCGTAGTTCCCCAGCCTTTCTTCCTGCCCTGGATGACGTTTGGGTGGGCGCCCTCGGAACACGATTAAGGACCTTTAAAAAAACCTTCCCTTTATCCTTAGGGCAGATGCTTGCTAAGCCTGTGCGCCAAAGTGAGCTGACCTTAGAAAACTCGTATAGAGTGGTCTGTTTGTGGGTGCCTCACTTCCGGACTGCGTGGTAGTAAATGGAAGGCGCAGGGACTTGAAGTCAGTTCTAGCAGGTGTGTTTCCCATAGGTAGACTGTTCAGAGCGAGCCCATTTTCCCAGCCTGAAAAATTGTGAATCCCATGTTAACGCTCCTGCAGTGCTAGGTACTCTCCCCTGTAGACTTCTATGGTATCTTTTTAAATTCTTACGGTGTCAACTGCCCTGTTTTGAACTGACCTGGAAGATGGAACTTGATCTCAGTTTTGGAATTCACAGAGTCTGTGTCTTGGCTAGAACAGTGTTCAATCTGTGTGTGATGTATGACTTATAAAATATTGAACTGAATAGGAGAGGTGAGAGCGGCTTAGGGCCCCTGCTGCTTCTACAGTGCACTTGAGCAAGGAACAGCAAAGGCAATCTTGGATTAGAGGCTCCACGTGGTTCCTCTGGTGCCATAATCAGTTTGATTATAATCCTCAGCTGTAGCAAGAGGCCTTACTAATGTAGATAGAAACTAAAGCTCCTCCCCCCGCCTTGTTTTTTAAAAGAATGAAAGCCACATTTTTACGTATTTGAAAGCAGAGAAATAGAGATAACCTGCCGGGTCACTCCACAAATGGTCACAAAAGCCAAGGCAGGGCCAGGCTGAAGCTGGGAGCTGGAAACAGCCTGGGTCTCCCATATGAGTGGCAAGGACCCAAGTACTTGGGCCGTTGTTACCTTCCACTGCCGGGGGTTAGCAGGAAGTGAAGCCAGACTCTGATATGCTGGTTTCCCAAGCAGCGTCTTAACCACTGTGCCAAATGCTGGTCCCACTACTGAAGCTTTTCATCTGCTATGTCTAATTAGCAAAGTAACACAGGTCTGCGTATGATCCTTATCTGATGATCACTGCTGCTTATGGAACATTTGGTAAATTAGGCAATCTGCTTTGGGCTTTACAAGTAATATCACAGTCTTAGAATAATCCTATAAGTTGGTTAGTAATGTCCAATGGGGAAACGTAATTAGGCAATTAAATAACTTCACTGGTAGTAGGGCCAAAGTTTGAAGTCCATTTTGACTTAAACCTAACTACCTTGCCATTAAGTCTATCATTACCCTACAAATCAGAATAGTATGTTTTTTCTTCCTTTCTGAAGGGAGAGGCTGGGGTGTCTCACTAGGAATAGACTAGTGAGAGCTATTGGCACCTCATTACAACCCGCTGAAATTATTCTCTCTTGCTATATACAGCCCCCCCTCAACTTTGTGTTCTTTTGGTACCTGGGCTTAATTATACTCTTCTAATGTGGCTGTTCAAATAATTTATTACTTGTATTTGATTTATTTTATGCTTTATTTTTTACTTTTTTCTTAAAAGTTTACAGTATCTGATGTGTATGACACGGAGTTTTGATGTACATGTGCCTAGTGGATGCTTACTACAGTTAAGCAGTTAACAAATCCATACCCTCACATGGTTACTCTTTGTACACCTGAAACATCTTAGCAGATTTCTAGTATGCAATACAGTTTACTGACTACAGTGACCATTAGATCTCTAAAATAACATTGTATTATATTAGATTCATTTTGCATTCATTTTACACAGCTGCAACTTTATACCCTCTGACCAACGTGTTCTCATTTCCCCTATGTTCCTGGTAAAACTGTTGTCTGTGCTTCTGTGTATTTGACTTTTTTTTGGAGCCCACATTTAAGAGAGTGCTTAAATACTTAAGCAGTACTTTTTCTTCTGTCTGGCTGATTTCACTTAGCATAATATCCTCCAGGTCTCATCCATGTTGTTACAGATGTCAAGATCTACTTTCTAAAAAAGTGTTAAAGGCAGAACAATATTCCATTCCATTTATATTATATAATAATGTATATCACAATTTTTAATCCATTCATCCACTGACACTTAAGTTGTTTGTGTAGATTGTTTATTGTGAATAATGCTGTAATGAACATGAGAGTGCAGTTATCTCTCTAAAACACTGATTTTATTTTCTTTGGATATGTATTCAGTAGTGGAATTGCTGAATTATATGATACTCTAATTTTTTTGAGGAACCTTTATAATGTCTGTACCAATTTATACTCCCACCAACAGTGTATAAGGAAAATCTAAAATGGTTGCTAGAGGAACGAATGAGGAATTGTCAATGAAAACGTGTAAATAATTCAGAAATGAAAAACCGTTTTGAAAAAAGATTCAGGATCACTGAATTGAAGAGGTAGGGAAAAGCAATTAAGAATCGGGTGGCAATTAGTCATCTGTGGATAGATAGGGCTTCCCTTCCTCAATTAGGGTAATGGGCAGCAGCTCCCGCTAAAATCTGAAATAAATGAGGAAGCTAGAGATAAACCTGAGCTGGCTTGATCACGGGCAAGGAGTGGCAGTGAAAGTGGGAAGTAAAAAACACTGTGCCTGAGCAGCTAGTAGAAGGATGGAGCGGTTTGTCCGAGTTCCCTGTGGCTTGTACCAGGGCTATGGGAACACACTACCTTTGGACCAACCTGGACTCTCAGGGCACAAACAGCCTGACTGGAGGCAAAACATTGATCCCCCCACTTTCCTGTCCAGGCCTGGGCTGCTGGTGCCTGCAAATGCCTCTGACTACTGCATGGACCCTTACAAACGAACACAGCTTAAAGCCATTCTTGCCCAGATGAATCCCAGTCTGAGGCTGCAGCTGTGCAAGGCCAACACCAAGGAGGTGGGTGTGCAGGTCAGTCTGCGAGTGGATAAGTCCGTGCAGTGCTCGCTGGGGCCTCGCACCCTGCGCAGCCGCTCCCCTTGGGACAGTGCTGGGCACAGAGTGCCCCTGGCAGGCTGGGGAGTCTATTTGCCAGTGATCAGCAGCAGAGGTTTGGTTCGGCTGCAGAAGGGTGGGGACAGTGGGGAGAGTGAGGTGCTGGGCAGCCCTGCAGAGACTGGTCAACAGCCACCACCAGTGCCGAAGTTAGAAGATGGCAGGCAGAAGGAAGTTGGACAGCCTGAGGAGCTGGGGGACTCCGAGGCCACACATCCTCAAGAAGGGAAGAACAAGCTGGTGCAGAGAGATGCAGTCCCCGATCTACTCCAGAAGCCAAACTTCCAGGTGGCCTTTCTCTTCTTAGTCTTCAACCAACCCAGGCGTGCGCGCTCGCTCACCCTTTGTCTCTGTCTCCCCCCCCCCTCCCTTTTTCCCTCTCTCTCCTATTTGTAGAACAGTAAGAACAAATATTCTCTTGCTTCTGACACTTATTTGGTGGAGAGAGTGTTTTGCATTAGGTGCAATAATGGTCTGTATGCTCTGTAAGTTTTTGGTAAAGTAGGATGCCAACTTTAAGTCTGTGAAAGAAGTCTGGCAAACAGTGCTACCAGGAATGAGACAAGGGCTGCCATGTCTGTGAAATAGGAAATTGACTTTTGTTTTGGAGAGATTGTTCTGGTGGCATTGTGGAAAATGGTTTGGAAAACTGCGATTGACAGCAGCAAAAAGAATCCCAGAGTAATAGCTGAGATGAGACACTAAGTTAATGTGGCAGCACTGAGAATAGAAATGTGAAATTGAGGCAGCATTTTTTTCCCCGATACAAAATCATAAGTTTTTTTTTTCTCTTTTCCCTAAGATAGTAAAAGACTTCCTCCCCCCACCTCTTATTTTCAGTTTTTGGAACCAAAATATGGCTATTTTCACTGTAAAGATTGTAAAACCAGATGGGAGAGTGCTTATGTGTGGTGCATTTCTGGAACTAATAAGGTAAGTAAAAATGAGTGGGTGGGAGAGGGGAGGGTGGGGTTTACCCAAAGGTTCAGTGGGGGGAGGATTTGCTTCCTGATGGAGCATGACCATTCACAAGCCCGTCTGAATTCATTTTGGCATCCTCAGTGTTGTGCATACAATTGCAGTCTGCAAATGTTTGAGAAGAACTGACTTGTACTGTCCCTCTAAGCTCCTGAGCCATACACTGGGGATGTATTTGGCTTGGTAGTTGCTGAACAAAATCTCAAGTTATGTAGATGAGCTTTGTTCTTGTCTAAATTGGGCCTTTCTGGAACCTTTAAGTTGGTGTATTTTGAACAGGTTTAGGAGTTAGCCCCAGGGAATTTCCACCATTTGTCCACAAGGTGGAGCAGTAAAAGAAATAATTTACCATAAAGGTTAGCTTGTAAGAGACTTAGGCTAAGCCTTCGTTTTATTATACTCCTCCTAATTTGAGTTAATTGTCAAAATATCAACATTGGGAAAAACTTCACATTATATCTTGTACTTCTGGATTTTCGTGAAAAACCATAGGCTCTGGTCTTTGGACCCTTCTTTGAGACTGACAGCGGCACAAGCCTGCAGAGATGATTCTGTCTCCATTCGCTTGGCCAATGCACTTTGTTTGGAACAGCTTGCCACCAGGCCTGTTTCATTAACTTCTAAAAGCCTTTGAGCTCAAATCCTCTGCTGTTGCATGTTTAGATACTGCCTTTCTGGCTAAAGGACTATAGAGGGAGAGGGGAAAGAGACATGCAATTTGACTTTTCAGACTAGCCATTTACTAGACCCAGGAGGTAAAAGATTTTTAAACCAAGTTAAAATTACTTCGCTTCTGTTGCTAAAAGAAAAAAAATAATTCAAACACTAGAACAGAAAGAATAACACATGAATCTCTCTTCAAAAAATTCACTCTGTGGGTCAATATTGTGACATAGCTGGTTAAGCTACTTTGCTGATCCACTTCGGATCCATCTCCCAGCTAATAGCCTGAGAAAGCAATGGAGGATGGCCTAAGTGTTTGGGCCCCTACATCCATAGGGTAGAATGGGAAAGCTCTTGGCTTCAGCCTGGCATAGCCCCAGCCATTGTAGCCATTTGAGGGGTGAATTAGTAGGTGGAAGATTATCTCTCTGTCTTCCTCTCTGCCCCTCTCTTTCTCTATTTTTCCCTCTCTCCCTGTAACTCTACCTTTCAAATAAAATCACTCTGATAGGATCAATGTAGACAAAAATAACAGAGGAGGGTGTTGAACTCCATGTGAGTGGTGGCACAATGATGTCTCTGCAGGGTTTTAGAGGACAAATAGAGGAACAGTTTACCAAGTAGAGAAACACTGAAAAGCTCAAAATATAAGGGATAATGAACTAGGACAAAAGGAGGAAATCAAGGGTTTGGCCCATGCAATAATGTGTACGTTATTGGGTAGTTGTGGTAACTAAGAAAAACTGAAGTAGTAGCAGTCTGATTTTTATAAGTAAGGGAAATGAGATTGGAAGACTAAGAAAAAGTGATTGATAGAACTAGTAGAATTTAAAACCTTCTGAACTCAGGGTGGGCAAGAAAGGAAGTTATAAAATCAAGAAATGGATTGCTTAAGAAATGAGGGGTGGCATTTGCCCTACCAGTTAAGAAAGTTAGGGTGCTCACCTCTCAAATCAGAGTTTGTGGGTCAAACTCAGGGCTATAGCTCCTGATTCCAAATTCCTGCAAATGCAGACCCCTGTGGGAAGCAACAGTGATGGCTCAAGTAATTGATTTTTGCCTATCATACGTGAGACCTGGATTGCGTTTCCAGCAACCTTTCCTCCACCCATCTTCTGGGTGTTAGGGGCATTTGTAAGTAAATCAGCAGACGGGTGTGCTCTCTGTGCTTCTCAAATAAATTAATATATGTTTAAAAAATTGAACTGGGAGCCTAGGATGAGCTTATATTAAAGAGGCAAATTTCTCTTCAGGTTTATTTCAAACAACTCTGTTGCAAATGCCAAAAGAGTTTTAACCCTTACCGAGTAGAAGCAATCCAATGTCAGGTAAGCATGCAGAACTCTTTTGCATTATATCTATAATTATACTTTTGTTTTTAAACATGAGCCCTCTGTGGCAGAATGTCAAGATTTGATTAGAAGCAGATATTGATATCAGAATGTTAGACTTTCTGTGTATTTGAAATTTTCTAATTAAAAACATAAATTCTAGTTTGCCTTTTTGGGGTGTGAAGGAATATACATGATTTAGTTGCTTTATATGGTTTGTTTCTGTGTAGTGTGTATGTGTGTTTATCCTTAGAGATACACTGTATATAATTAGTATGTAATATAATAGGTAACTATTATTAGGCTTTTATCATGTATCAGACTTAAGACTAAATGCTTTACATGCATTATTTCCGTAACTCTAACCTTTATGATAAATAATAATGCCAGGAGCTTCTTGCTGGTCTCTCACGTGGGTGCAGGGGCCCAGACTTGGGCCATCTTGTACTGCTTTCCCAGGCCATAGCAGAGAGCTGGATCAGAAGTAGAGCAGCTGGGACTCGAACCAGGGCCCATATGGGATGCCGGCACTTCAGGCCAGGGCGTTAACCTGCTGCGCCACGGCGCCAGCCCCCTCGTGTTCACTTTATTTTTTTTTCCAAATCCATATTCCTCTCTGTTCTTTAGTATTTTTTTGGTGGTTACCAAGAGATGACATTACGACTCATCGATTTATCAATCTGGATTAATTATTAGTCTTACCTCTCCCTGACAATGTATTTTAGAACATTCTAATTCCATATCACTTTATTCTAACTTCCATGCTGTTCTTATGCATTTTAACTTTACCCATATTTTAAAATTTACAAAATATTATATAGTAAGTATTCATGTAGCTTTTGCTACATATTTATCTTTTCTATTCTTAGGTCTTTATAAATTTTTTTTAACTTTTGTATCTGGAATCATTTTCCTTTTACTTGAAGACACTTTAATATTTTCTGTGATGTAGGTCTGAAGGTGACCAATTCCATTTTGCTTGGATATCTTTTTAAGAGATTTTGCTAGAAATAGAATTAAGTTGTTTGAGGCTCTTTCTGTCCTTTAAGAACTCGCAGTTCCTTTGAAGTAATCTCTCCCCCAACCCCTTGTTAAATCTGCTTGCTTTTAAGATATTTCTCTCTGCTTTGGTTATCAGCAGTTTACTTATGATTCCTTTGTATTTACCCTGCATAGGGATTATAGTATTTCTTGAGTCTGGTAGCTTGAAGATTTTTAACACTTTTCCAAAATTTATCAACCATTGTCTTTACAAATATTCATTGACCATTCTGCCCCTCTCCTAATTACTTGTATCAGACCTTTTCACCATATCCCATTTTGTCTTACATGTTTGTTTCTGTATTTCCCTGCTTTAGTCTCTCCTTGCTTCAGGGTGGGTTTTATGTACTTTTTTTTTTTTTTAAATATTTATTTTACTTGAAAGGCAGAGTTGGAAGATGTCTATCTGTCCTATCTTCTGTTTCACTCCCTAAATGGCCACAGTGGCCAGGGCTGGGCCAAGCTGAAACCAGGAGCCAAGGACCAGGAGATTCATCTGGGTCTCCCACCTGGGTGCAGGTGTCCAAAGACTTGGGCCATCTTCAGCCGTTTTCCCAGGTGCATGAGCTGGGAATTGGAAGTGTAGCGGCTACCTGTATGGGATGCTGACATGCGGGAGGCAGCTTAACTCGTTAGACCACAGCACCAGTCACCATCTACTCTAATTATCATTTCAGCTGTTTCCAATCTGAAATTAAACCTATCCACAAATTGAGTTAGCCATTTGAGTTATTGTGTTTTCCTGTTAAAGAATTTTTTACTTTTTGACAAATTCCGGGGGTCAGGGTTGTGGCACAATAGGTTAAGCCACTGCATGCAGTGACAGTTTGCTACATTTCAAATCCAGCTCCCTGCTAATGCACCTGGGAAAGCAGCAGCAGATGGCCCAGATACTTGGGCCCCTTCCACCCACATGGGAGATCCAAGAAGTTCTGGGCTCCTGTTCCAGTCCCAGCTGTTGGGGCCATTTGATGGAAGATCTCTTTCTGTCTCTCCACTTTCTGTGGCTCTGCCTTTCAAATAAATAAATACATCTTTAAAATTCCACTTTCTTGCTAAAAATAGTTAACTGATCTCCATGGACATAGTAAGCATTGTTATTTAAAAATTTTTCAGGTAATGCCATTAACCTTAATTTGTTGCTATCTCCTTCGCTTTCAAGTGTGTCATTCGTTCTTCTCATATACCTGATTATTTTTGATTGAGTGCTAGATGTGATATATGAAACTGCAGTGATAATTATGGTCAAGGATAGTATCTTCCAGAGAGGATTTATGTTTGCTTTTGGAGGCAGATAGTTGCACTAGCAATTTTAGATAACTGTTTGCCAGTAGGAGTTGAACTGTTGCGAAACTGGGCCTCAGTACCTGTGAAGGCAGGTCTGTTTTGGTGCATCCTTATTCTTAGGGTATGGCCCTATGTTCCCAATACAAATCCTGAGTTGCTTACCAGGGCTTTTATACTTTGATATATTTCTTAGCTTCATCAATGTATTAGTCCCCTTTCCAGTTTCCTATGATCTTTTACCAGTCTCAGAATTAGCAGATTGCTTTAGAGGGAAAATAGTCCCAAATGTCAGGTTTACTTACATTTTTGGATTTCTTTGTCTAATTTTTTTTTTTAAGATATTATTTGAAAGACAGAGAAGTAAAGACATAAAGTTCTTCCATCCGCTGGCTAAATTCCCAGATGGCTGCAGTGGCTGGACCTATGCTGATCCAGAGCCAGGAGCCAGGAGCTTTTTCCAGGTCTTCCAAGTGGGTGCAGGGGCCCAAGGACTTGGGCCATCTTCTGCTGCTTTCCCAGGCCACAGCAGAGAGCTGGATTGGAAGAGGAGCAGCTGGGACTAGAACTGGGCCCATATGGGATGCTGGCGCTTCAGGCCAGGACTTTAACCCATTGCACTTCAGTACTGGCCCCAGTTTGTCTAATGCTTTGATAATCCCTGAGTGCCTTTTTTTCTTAAGATCAGCTTTTCTGGTCATCCAGGAGGATTGGTTAGAATTATCCCATCCACCATGGCTAGAAACAGAAATCTATCTATTTTTTTTAATTTATTTATTTGGAAGGTAGAGTTATATTTTCTATCCATTGGTTCACTCCTCAAATGGCCATAAAAGCCAGGGCTGGTCCAGGCCAGAGCCAGGAGCATCATCTGGATCTCACATGTGGGTGGCAGGAGTTCAAACACTTGGGTCATCTTTTACTGCCTTTCCAAAGTGTATTAACAGGAGCTGGATTGGGAAGTTTAGTTGGGATACAAAACAGGACCCATATGGGATGCCGGTGTTGCAGGCAGCAGCTTAGCCTGCTGCACCACAATGCTGGCCCCAGAAGTCTACCTTCAGAGTAAATCCTTATTTTGTTGAGCCATTTATTAGTATAAAATAGTGATGGGGCTAGAATTGTGTTGTAGAGGGTAAAAGCTGCCACCTGTTGGGGCTGGCACTGTGGCGTAGCAGGTGAGGCCCCTGCCTGCAGTGTTGGGATTCCATTTGAGTCCTGGCTGCTTCACTTCTGATCCAGCTCTCGGCTGTGGCCTGGGAAGACAGTAGAGAATGGCCCAAGTCTCTGGGCCCCTGCACCCATGTGGAAGACCTGGAAGAAGCTCCTGGCTCCTGGCCTTGGATCAGCACAGCTCCGGCTGTTGTAGCCATTTGGGGAGTGAACCAGCGGATGGAAGACCTCTCTCTGTCTCTGCCTCTCCTCTCTGTGTATAGCTCTGACTTTCAAATAAATAACTTTTTTTTTTTTTGACAGGCAGAGTGGACAGTGAGAGAGAGAGAGACAGAGAGAAAGGTCTTCCTTTTTGCCGTTGGTTCACCCTCCAATGGCTGCCGCGGCCGGCGCACTGCGCTGATCCGAAGGCAGGAGCCAGGTGCTTATCCTGGTCTCCCATGGGGTACAGGGCCCAAGCACTTGGGCCATCCTCCACTGCACTCCCTGGCCACCGCAGAGAGCTCGCCTGGAAGAGGGGCAACCGGGACTAGAACCCGATGTGCCGGCGCCGCAGGCGGAGGATTAGCCTATTGAGCCACGGTGCCGGCCTATAACTTTTTTTTAAAGTTGTCGCCTGTGACACTGACATCCTATAGGGTGGCAGGTTGTATCCTTCCCCACTTCCAATACCGCTCCCTGCTAATGGCTTGGGAAAGGAAGCAGAAGATGGCCCAATTCTTGGGCCCCTACACCCAAGTGGGAGACCTGGAGGAGTTTCCTGGTTCTTGGCTTTGACGTGGCCATTGTGGCCATCTGAGGAGTGAACCAGCAGATGGAAGATCTCACTGTCTCTCCCTCTCTGTAACTCCAACTTCTTTTAAAGATTTATTTATTTGAAAGAGTTATACCAAGATAGAAGGGGAGGCAGAGAGAGGTTGTCCATCTGCTGGTTCATTTCCCAATTGGCTGCAATGGCTGGAGCTGTGCCGATCCGAAGCCAGGAGCTTCCTCGGTCTCCCAAGTGGGTGTAGAGGCCCAAGGACTTGGGTCATCCTCCACTGCTTTCCAAAGCCATAGCAGAGAGCTGGATCAGAAGAGGAGCAGCTGAGACTCGAACCAGCACCCATATGGGATGCCGGCACTGCAGGCAGCAGCTTAACCTCCCACTCCACAGCGCAGGCCCCTCAACTTTCAAATAAATAAATCTTAAGACAGTGATAATAAAATGAATTAATCTATAAAAAGTGAATGTGAATATAATAGTGTTTTATTTAACATTCATGTTTGGAAAATGAAAAGTCCTATTTTCATACTATAAAAAGATAAACTTTGACCTACTCCATGTGGCTATGGGACATGAAAATAGAGTGGTAATTATTGATGCAAAAGATTGGCAGAGTTGAGAGTGTGGACCAGGGCAATATGCGAGTCTCCAAAGGATGTAAACTTCCACTGATCAGAAGACAGAATGGGATAATTGTTGGAAGGCCCTATTTTAAGTCATTGTCAAGGGAGTGGCTCTGTAGATCAGCAGGTTGAGCTATGACCTGCTATGCTCGCATCCCAGGTGAGCACTGGTTCCGTCCTGGCTTTTCTGCCCCTGATCTAGTTCCCTGCTCTAAAAGCAGCAGCAGATGGCCTAAGTGCTTGGGCCCCTGCCACCCATGTGGGAGACTAGGTTGGAGTTCCTGGCTCCAGGCTTTGGCCTGGCCTAGCCCAAGGCAGCCATTGTGGCCCTTTGAAGAGTAACTATTTGAAAGATTTCTGTCTCTGTCCCCCTGTATCTCTCTTTGTAACACTGCCTTTCAAATAAAATAAGTGAATCTTTAAAAGAAAATCTTGTAAATATTAGACATGTCTGGAAACAAGAGAATTTTAGCTTCATATAGAACACCTCTCCTAGTTCTAACAAGCTAAGATATCTCCAAACATTGTAAAATATCCCTGGGCTGGGGGAGGGGGAGATAAAAGTACTCCTGATTGAGAACCACTGCTCTATTTTTAAATGTTTGCATTTATATAATCAAGTCACTTAATACCTGTTCAGTGCACCTCAGCTCCACGTGACTACAATAGAAAAACCTGTACAGTGAGGACACTATACAAAACTCTTTTTAAAAAAACTTTTATTTGACATGCTATCTTAGTTGGCTCAGAAATATTCTCTTGAACATCTTCTGTGATCTTTGATCTTGATGCAAATGTGTGGCATTTAAATGAGGGATGCAAGTGGTTTTGTACAGCTTGATCACAGGTTTCTCCTAGGACTCAAAAGAAAATGAAGATATCAGGAATGGGATCTTGGAGAGGAGTGTTTTTTGAATTGAGATTTATATTTGAAATAATAATTGGATCACTTAGTATTGAAATTGTTCCTTGTTTCCTAAAGACATGTTCAAAGTCTCGTTGTTCCTGTCCTCAAAAGAAAAGACACATTGATCTAAGGAGGCCTCATCGACAGGAACTGTGTGGTCGCTGCAAAGACAAGAAATTCTCCTGTGGCAGTATTTACAGCTTTAAATGCATCATGTGACAGACAGTAATTCTTGTATAGGATGCAAACCCTTTCTGTAAGTTACTGTGCTGTCTTCCTTTTTTGTGCAACTTAGCTCTGACCTGGCATTGGAAAATTGACTAGCTTTTGTACTTTTTGTAGGTTACATAACAATTGTACAATATGAGTAGAATAAAATAAAATGCATGTGAACTAGAAAATGAAGACAACTGGTGATTATTTGATAAAAACATTAAGATAGTACCAACAGTTTCCAAACGTTGGGACTTGCATCAAGAAAACAATGAAGAGGAAAAATGATCTATGATAAGCTTGGTTTTTAAGCATTGGAATATAGAGATGACCAAGCGGTAATGTCCTTGCCTTTTAAGTGTACATACTTATAGCAAATGCTGAAACAGCACTTAGCATGTTCCAAACATTGTTACAACTCATCACAGCAGTCATATTCAGTGGAAATTATTATCTTTTAATAGATGAAATGGAGACACAAAGAGGTGTAAGTCAGAGCCAGGACTTGAACTCAGGTAATAGGCTAATCTTCCACCTTGCGGCACTGGCACACCGGGTTCTAGTCCCAGTCGGGGCTCTGGATTCTGTTCCGGTTGCCCCTCTTCCAGGCCAGCTCTCTGCTATGGCCAGGGAGTGCAGTGGAGGATGGCCCTAGTCCTTGGGCCCTGTACCCCATGGGAGACCAGGATAAGCACCTGGCTCCTGCCTTCAGATCAGCGTGGTGCGCCTGCTGCAGTGCGCCGGCCGCGGTGGCCATTGGAGGCTGAACCAACAGCAAAGGAAGACCTTTCTCTCTGTCTCTCTCTCACTGTCCACTCTGCCTGTCAAAAAAAAAATTAGGACTTGCTCCATGGTTCTAACCAATATATTGGTATTCCCACTCAAATTCAGATTGTGATATGTGAATTAATTCATGAATGAAACAGGTTACTATGACAAAGTAAACCCTTCAGGATGACTGGGGAAAAAACAAGAGAATTAAGGCTTACTATATGAAGGGAATTGAGAAAAGATTATTGTTTTTCAGCTTCAGTACAGTTAATTTTTTTTCCTTCAAATAAACCTTTTATTTAAGGAATACAAACTTCATGCATTTCATAAGTATAACTTTAGGAATATAGTGATTGGGATGGCAGGCACAGTGGGAACACCCACACTCCCACCCCTCTTCTTCCCTCTTATTCCCAGTCTTATACTAAGATCTATTTTCTTTTTTTTTTCTTAATTATTTTTAAAGGAATACAAATTACATATGTATAACTTTAGGACCATAGTGTTTCTTCCCACCATACCTGCCCTTCCACCCACACTCCCACCTCTCTTCCCTCTCCCCTTCCCAGTCGCATTCTCCTATAAGGTTCATTTTCAGTTAACAGATCAGCTGTATACTAAGATTTCAACAATTTGTGTGTGCGTGCACACACATATGTATACACACACAAACTGAGGACAAGTTTTACAGTTAATTCTCATACAACTCATTGAGGACAGAGGTCCTGCATGGGGAGTTAGTGCACAGTGACTCCTGGTAATTTTAAATTAACACTCTTATGTGTGATGTCAGTGACTACCCGAGGCTCTTGACATGAGCTGCCTAGGCTATGGAAGCCTTTTGAATCCACAAACTCTGTCAATATATAGACAAGGCCATAAGCGAAGTGGGAACTCTCTCCTTCCTTAAGAGAAAAGTACATCCTTCTTTGGCCACTTCTTTTCGCTGGGATCTCACTTATAGACATCCTACACATAGAATATTTTTTTTTTTGCCACAGTGTCTTGGCTTTCCATGCCTGAAATTCTTTCACTGGCTTTTCAGCCAGACCAGGAAACATTGAGGGCTGATTATGAGGTCAGAGTGTTACTTAAAACAATTGGTAATCTGTGAGTCTGCTGTGTGGACCGCTTCCCATGTTTGAACGTTCTGTTCTTTTTAATTGTCTACTATAATTACCCCATACTTGATCCTATTTATATGGTCATTTTAACACTTAATCCTTTCTATATGTTCATGCTAATACCTAATATAATCATTTGAGATGGCATTTATTTTACAACCCAGCTTAATGGGATTTCGGGTCCTATGACAAATTTTTAAACTGTACCTTTAAAGTTAGCCTGTAGGAATGTATACAGAACTAGACAGCTTTACAGTTATAAACTTCCTCCTCCCTTTCTTATTTCCACTCTTATTTCTTACGGAGATCTATCCTCAGTTGACTTTATACACATACGATTAACTCTATGTTAAGTAAAAAGTTCAACAAATAGCATAAAAAAATAACAAAAAACCCAAAACTGATCCTCAACCATCAAGACAAAGGCAGCTCAAGTCATCCCTTCTCAAAGTATCAATTTCACTTCTGCAGATTTTGTTTTAGTTGCTCTATTCTCTCAGATAAGGGAGAACATGCGGTATTTGTCCCTTTGGGACTGGCTTATTTTACTAAGTATGATACTTTCCTGGTTCATCCATTTTGTTGCAAATGACTGGATTTCAATTTTTTAAAACTCTGTGTACTATTCCATAGTGTGTATATATAATAATTTCTTTTTTTAAAGATTTATTTACTTGAAAGTCAGAGTTACACAGAGAGATAGAGAGGCAGAGAGAGAGAGGACTTCCATCCAGTGGTTCACTCTTCAACTGGCCACAACTGCCGATGCAAAGCCAGGAGCCTTTTCCAGGTTTCCCAAACTTGGGCAGGGGCCCAAGGACTTTGGCCATCTTGTACTGCTTTCCCAGGCCATAGCAGAGAGCTGGATTGGAAGTGGAGCAGCCGGGTCTCAAACCAGCGCCCATATGGGATGCCGGCGCTTCAGGCCAGGGTGTTAACCCGCTGTGCCACAGTTCCGGCCCCCATATCTCATAATTTCTTAATCCAGTCTTTGGTTGATGGGCATTTAGGTTGGCTCTATTTTATTGATTTGTGTCTTCTCTCTCCATTTTTTGGTTAGTTGGGCCAATGGTATGTCAATTTTTTTTTTTTTTTTACAGGAAGAGTTAGAGACAGAGAGAAAGGTCTTCCTTCCGTTGGTTCACCCCCCAAATGGCAGCTACGACTGGTGCACTGCACCAATCTGAAGCCAGGAGTCAGGCGCTTCCTCCTGGTCTCCCATGCAGTTGCAGGGCCCAAGCACTTGGGCCATCCTCCACTGCCTTCCTGGGCCACAGCAGAGAGCTAGACTGGAAGAGGAGCAACCAGGACAGAATCTGGTGCCCCAACTAGGACTAGAACCTGGGGTGCCGGTGCCGCAGGTAGAGGATTAACCTAGTGAGCCATGGTGCTGGCCAATTTAGTTTATTTTTTCAAAAAACCAGCTGTTCGTTTTGTTAATCTTTTGTATTTTTTGGTTTCAATTTTGTTGATTTCTTCTTTAATTTTAATTATTTCTCTTCTAGTTTTGGGTTTAGTTTGCTCTTGTTTTCTAGATCCTTGAGGTATATTGATAGTTTATTTATTTGGTGCCTTTTATTTTATTTTTTTATTTATTTTATTTTTATTATTATTTTTTTGACAGGCAGAGTGGACAGTGAGAGAAAGAGACAGAGAGAAAGGTCTTCCTTTGCCGTTGGTTCACCCTCCAATGGCCCCCGCGGTTGGCGCGCTGCGGCCGGTGCACCGCGCTGATCCGATGGCAGGAGCCAGGAGCCAGGTGCTTTTCCTGGTCTCCCATGGGGTACAGGGCCCAAGCACCTGGGCCATCCTCCACTGCACTCCCTGGCCACAGCAGAGAGCTGGCCTGGAAGAGAGGCAACCGGGACAGAATCCGGCGCCCCGACCGGGACTAGAACCTGGTGTGCCGGCGCCGCTAGGCGGAGGATTAGCCTAGTGAGCTGCGGCACTGGCTTATTTGGTGCCTTTTGAGTTTCTTCATGTAGGCACCAGTTGTTATAAACTTTCCTCTTAACACTGGTTTTGCTATATCCCACAACTTTTCTTGTTGTATTGCCATCTTCATTTGTTTCCAAAATTTTTTTGATTCTCTTTTGATTTCTCCTATCACCCACTGTTCATTCAGAAATATGTTGTTCATTCTCCATGTTTTTGCATATGATGTAGAGATTCTTGTTGATTTCCAGCTTCACTGCATTGTGGTCTGAGACGATGCATGGTATGATTTTGATTTTTTTTTTGAATTTGCTGAGACTCACTTTATGGCTTAGCATATGGTCAATCCTAGAAAAAGTTCCACGCACTGGGGAAAAAAAAATATGTACTCTGTGGCTGTAGGGTGGAAGGCCTTGTAGATTTCTGCTAGGTCTATTTGGTCTATATTGTCAATTAACTCTGTTGTTTCTTTGTTGATTTTCTGTCTGGTTGATCTGTCCATTGCTGAAAGTTGGGTATTGAAGTCCCCTGTTACTATTGCATTTGAGTCTATATCTCCCTTTAGGTACTTAACAATTCTTCTAAATAGCCAGGTGCCCTATAATTAGGTGCATATACATTTATAATAGTTACATCTTCCTGGGGAGCATGTACCAAACTGTACATCACCTCCCTCTCTTATTCCCACTCTTATTTTTAACAGGGATCAATTTTCAGTTAACTTTAAACACCTAAGAATAATTGTGTTAATTAACGAGTTCAACAAATGGTATTAAGTAGAAAAAGAAAGTACTAAAAAGAATAAAATAGTAAGCTGTTTGTCGACAGCCAGGATAAGGGCTGATCTAGCCATTGTTTCTCATAGTGTCAGTTTTACTTCTACAGGTTTCCTTTTAGGTGCTCAGTTAGTTGTCACAGATCAGGGAGAACATAAGATATTTGTCCTTTTGGGAGTGGTTTATTTCACTCAGCATGGTGTTTTATAGATTCCTCCATTTTGTTGCAAATGGCCAGATTTCATTTTTTTTTACAACTGTGTAGTATTCTATAGAGTACATAGCGCATAATTTCCTTATAAAGTCTTCTGTTGATGGGCATTTAGGTTGATTCCATGTCTTAGCTATTGTGAATTGAGCTTCAGTAAGCATTGAGGTGTAGATAGTTCTTTTATTTGCCAATTTAATTTCCCTTGGATAAATTCTGAGGAGTGAGA